AAAAACTCTGTGTTATCTTTATTTAAGTGAAGAACATTTTAACACATACAACTGTTCTAAATAAATGAACTTGGCTGTGGTGTCCCAAAAAACACCAATACAGCTGTGTGTCATTAATTGTGTGAATCTTATAAGCAAATTGAGGCATACAACTATCAAAGAGATTTTTCAAGGATAAAACCCAGGGAACCTAATGCATAAATATATTTAGTTTAGATTTATAACTCCCTATTAACATAGCAGCGCTTGAATCAGGAAGATAGGGTTTTAATGTGCTAGTGATTACAAAATGTCCTTTTTACCTGTGTTGAACATTGCGCAGGTGCGCCCTCCTCATCCTCCACTGGAAGTAGAGGATGTTGGTCTACAGACTGCCTTATGGAAAACCTCCCACCTTTTTGGATTATTGCATCAAAAAGAAGATTGGGTTATTTTGCTCAGCAAAGGATTGTTGGTTTTTTATTTTTTTAAATGTATTTTGCTGTTCCTCAGTGGTGCACTGCAAAAAAATTTCTTAAATCAAGTGTATTTATCCTTAATTTGAGTAGGTAAAGGAGATTTTTTGCCAATGGAATGAGTATTTTTACTCTTGAAAAAAGATATTTAGATAAGATTGGCTTAAAATACGACAATGCACGTGTGTTTTCTTATTTTAAATGTAAATTGTCTTGTTCCAATGGCAAAATGTCTCTTTTATCTCAATTTAAAAACAAATGCACTTATTTTAAGAAAAAATGACTCATCTAGACTTCATTTTTTTCCAGTGTATTACCAGGCCTGGTCCTTGCCCTTCCTTCTCCCCTCTACGGTCTCAGGATCTCTTTACTGTCTCTCCATCAGACGGACGGGCTTCTGCCTCAGTATATTATTGTTAGCTATGAAACCAACCTGAATGTTTAATGTGTTTGAGGCCATTGGAAAAAAGGGCTAAAACATTTTTACATATGCAGAAACAAACAGGTTAAACTGAATCTGACTTTGCTAACCCATCATTCAGATTGAACTGGAATGATGTAATTGATTCAGAGTATGATAAGCTATGAGTGTGTTGGAATGAGTTTTATTGTTTTGGGAAGGAATTGGATGATGTTTCTTCCTGTTATAAGGCAGTTTGTTTTTTTCCCTGTCGTTGCATTCATGCTTAGTGTGAGGGGATTGCTGTAGAGTCAATGACACGATGTCTGCTGTCGCTACCTGCTCATCCAGGAGGAGCCAAACCTGCAGAGACTAGATGGAGACAGCTGGGTTTCCTGTCAAGGAAAACTTTTAACCCATCTGTCTGGATCAACGGATTAAATTGTCATTAGTTGCTGAGTTGTTTATTGGCTCTAGATACATAAAGTGAACTGATTCTATGCGACTGAACATTAATGAGACTAGCTTGTCTGCTAAAATGTTTTTTTTGAGAAGAATTGATGTAATTACTGATGTTCATTTTACAGTGAGAATTTAAAGG